AATTTACAAATCACTTCTTATAGCTCCATTTTACAATTCATATCAAAAATTATAGCTCTGATACCACAAAAGCTTGTCACAACCTAACCCAACAGAATTCCTAAAATGTCAAACAATGACAGACAATTTTTAAGATCTAATTTTAGAAATGCTTCAGATTTCTTCTTCCAATTTAAAGTTTAAAACATTTAAATAGATAATAGAGTTACTAAAAACATCAAAAGTATTATAAGTAAACTCAACAACAAGATTTTCTTCATTTCATCAAAATGTATCTACACTATAGTACATGGCTATAAACAGAAGCTACATAACGAAATAATAAACTAATCATGACAGTAAAAAAATCAACAAAAGAATATCTATCAACTCCAATCAGATCCTGAACTGCTAATCAATAGGCTCTTTCCCTTTCTTAGATCCTAAAAAATAAAATGAATAACCACAGTGACCTACAATAGCTCAGTAGACCACAAATACTGATCTAAATTTTCAAATATTTTTTTATTAAACATTTTCAACATATTTAAAAAACAATTAATATTTAAAAAACTGATAAATATAATAAAATGAATTACTATGCTGAGCAAAGAAATCAAAAGTATAGGAGTTATCCAAAGCTTTAAATATCATTGAGCAATTAAATTCATATCATAGAATAATTAATAACATATTTCTTCCTCTTTCAGACAGAATCCAAGATTCTAGCCCTATATAACTCCCTACATAATTTCTCTTTCTTTTAGACAGAATCAAAAATTATGGTCCATTATAACTCCAAACAGACATTCTTTTACACATTTCTAGGTTCGAATTCCTGGTCACAAATAAAGTCTCAAAGAACTTTGACACTTTATATCTCTTAACTTATATTTTCATATCTAAATTCACATAACTCAATCACATTGATCACATAAATGCATTTTTCATCACGTGCGAGAAATTAAAGCATAATTGAGCACGTCTCATAATTGTACAATTTTCTATAATGGTAAGCAATAGAAAATCCTACCAAGTAAAAATGCATATTTTCAATAAATAACTAAATTACTAGATATCATACAAAATATTATTTTAACTATAATTTTACTACAACATTATTTTTCAAAGTCTAAATTATTTTTTATTCAATAAAAGCTGTATAAATTTTAAAACCCCTAAAATAAAATTTTTAGAAAATATTTAAAGTATTCAAAATTTTCAATCGCTATAACATATAAAAAGTTACACGGCGAAGTTTTACTAGTTCAAAGTTATCTTCATGTTTTAGAAATAGAAATAAAAATGTAATCAAAATATTCAATAAAAATTTTATATTTTTAAAAATTGATATAGGCATAGTGTGTTATATCTCGAGGCGAACAAATTTTTCAACTGGGCCAACAAGAAAAAACGACTTTATAACCTTCAAAACCTGGCTTTTATTTTATCTCTCCTCTTTTTCTCTCAATTTCCCCTTTTCTTTATTATCGGTTCTTTAATTTGGGCAAAATAAAAATGCAAAGCCATTTGACAAGTATAAGGATACTATAATAAAATAATATAAGGATTTAAATGTAATTATTCAAATTGTTTATATATATATCCATTTATATCTTTAAATCCAGATATCTATAAAATTATGAAAAAATATTCATAAATTCGCTAAGCATATCTAAAAGGATCGGATGAAATCAATTTGCAAAACGGACACATGACAATCCCAAAAATTTCACTTGTACCAACATATGTCAATTTCTTTAAGAATTGCACCAATGTCCAAAAATTAGGAAAAAAATTATTAAAACTAAAGCTCTTTTTTTTTTTGGTCTTTTTATTAGTAAAACTAAAGCATAATAATTCTATGTTCTGAAGAAGATGGTTTATAATTTGGACTCAAAATGACTCTTGAAATATTTTTTTAATGTTATGAATCAAAATAACTCTTTTGAAATTTAAGGTTTATTACACATAATGCCAAGTTAAAGCTATCCATTGGCAAGCACATTACGAAGATAAATTCATCAGTCATCAGCGAACAAGTAATATCTACATATTCCTTTATTAAACGCCAAATTAATAACTTAAAAAGAAATCTATTTCAATCAAAGGATTTTTATTAAAAGTAAACTTAGTTATAAATAAACAAATGTTATTATATCATTTTACACAGTTCCTTATTCGTTCATTAAACTAGCTGAGCTGAACGAGTGGAGTTATCTCTATGAACTAGCCAAGTCAGAAAATACTCCTTGATGTGTGTATCATTATATATTTAGTATAAAGCTCCAACACACTCATTTGGTAAAACCTGCTGAAATCAAATCCATTGTGTCCAGATTTGCCAAGTAAAATACTTGGTCTCATTTAAGCAGATATAATCATTTCAACTACGCTACATCTTAATCATTTGATTATGATGAGAACTAACATGTTCCTTTTAAAAACTGAGTTTCCATTACACTTTTTGTACAATTTAGTTGAGTTAAGCATTTCGAAAATTCACTAACCATTATTGAGTGAGCTCAATGTTAATTATTATCGACCTTAGTCATTCATACAAAAGGCACAAGTTGATGGCTTAGAGAAAATATCCTACATCAACTCAATATAAGTGAATACAAATACAAAAACAAGAAGATTAAGCAAAAAAAAATGTATTTCATTTCATTTCTAAAAAAAATTTACATATGCCCAATCATTGGAAGGCCAATGTTTTATGTGACCAAACCATCTAAGGAGACTCTCTCTAATCTTATATGCCACTGGAGTTACTCCAACCTTTTCATGTGTATACTCATTTCGCATTCTGCCGCTAAGAGTGAATCTACTCATGCACATGAGCATCCTCATCTCTACAACACTTGACTTAATTTTATGTTACTCTTTTAATGGCGAACATTCTATGCCATAAAGCATTGCAGGTCTCACCACCATCTTATAAAATTTTCCCATAAAATTTAGGGGAACTTTTCTGCCACATAATAGACTCAATGCATTCTTCCACTTCAACCATCCAACTTGAATTCTACTAATAATATCCCCATCTATTTCACCATCACTTTGAATAATAGACCCGAGATATCTAAAACATCTACTCTTTTTAATGACTTTAAATTCCAAACTCACGAACACCCCACTATATCTATTACTACTAAACTTACATTCCATGTATTTGGTTTTAGATTTACTCAAACAAAAACCTTTAGACTCTAAGGTTGACCTCCATAATTCAAGTTTTTCTTCAACGCCCTCTCTAGTCTTATCAATAAGAAGAATATCATCAGCAAAAGACATATATTGAAGTACATCCTCTTGCAAATGACTAGTAAGAACATCCATGACTAAAGCAAAATGATATGGGCTAAAAGCTGATCCTTGATGTAATCCTACTGAAATAGGAAAATACTTGATCAAACCAGCTTGTGTTTGAACACAAGTAACAGCACTTGCATAAATATCCTTAATGACTTGATTAAAACTTAAAAGCATTATTAATTTATTTCTTTTCTAGAACTCTCTAGAGCACTTCTCTTGAAACTTTATCATATGTTTTTCTAAATCAATAAATATCATATATAGATCCTCTTTATTTTCTATATACTTCTCAATCAAATCTCTCAATAAATGTCTAACTTCCATAGTAAACCTACTCGGCTTGAATCCAAATTGATTTTGAGAAATCGTATCGCATCATAACCTATACTTAGTAACTCTCTCTCTCTCATAATTTTCATGGATGACACATTAACTTAATTTCTCTATAATCCGCAAACTCATGTGCATAACCTTTATTCTTAAAAATAGGAACCAACACACTCCTCCATTCATTAGATATCTTTTTTTAATGAATAAACATATATTAAAAATTTTAAAAAAATTAATTATGACTTTCTTTAGCTTCTTATTACTCGCATCAACAAGCCTTGGAAGACTTAAGTCAGTCAACTCTAGCAAGTGAGCATCACTTGCCCAAAAGCTAAGAAAGAAGTGTAGTTGTATAGCCACCCCCTATTGATATTTATAGTGTGACACATCAAATAAGAGTTTTAATGAAGAATATATAAATTGGGCTATTTGATCCGGGCAACAATAATGACATGGCAGTAACTCTTACTCTCTTTTTATACTTTAGATCAAAGAAATAAATAATTTTTTTCTTAAATTCACAATTCATTTTTTTTCAAAAGAAATGAGTGAATCGGGAAACTAAATGTATAATCATATCTGTTTATATAGGTAACTTGCATGTATCTAGTAGATTCTCATCAAGGAACTCAATTAGGAAAGTCATATGGTTAAAGTAGCACTCACCCAATGAGAGCATAATCCTGCAAAGCGGTATCTAACATCAACTCATGGTCAAACATGTACTCTCCCCTACAAAATTGCAACTATACCTATAGAGATCACAACGTGCACACCATCTTGCCAGTCCTTGTGTTAGTGTCAGTCTATAATAGTTGATCATTTACTATTTTTTACATTTTCTTCTGAGTGTAGCCTTTCATGTAGCCCTCTTAACCATAAAAAAAGGGTGATGAGGCATATTTTAAGGCTTGTCAAAAAATTTTAAGATCTTCAGATCCTTTGATTTTTTTTTTCTTTCATATTGTTGGGACTACATACAAAGATAAGTAGCTTTCCACAAACTCTGCATTTTAATAACCTTACCACTCACCTATGTTTTTTAGCTCTAACTCGTTAACAATCTACTAGTAGGGTCGGGTATCATCAACAAATAAATTCGAATCCAACATGCATAGCTTTAAGGTGTGCACCCAACCAATAGACTCCACTGGCCAAATGCAATCAAAATTTATTTGACACATCTGTAGGGTGTGCGCAGATAGCTAAGCTCAAAATTCAATTGGATTCTCCTATTATTGAAAAGTATTAATAAGAAATGATGTTTCACAAAGTATTAGTTGCTCAATCTTTTAGGAAATCAGATGCCTGATGCTTTTGAATACTCCATCAATGTCTCTTTCAAAACAAGTCTTCGATAAAAAAATTATTACCTCAATAATCGTATCAGCCCCATACTCCTTCCTCCACTGAAGCATTTCAGCCCACATTTGCTTTGCTTTCTCAATATCAAATTTGCGAGCCTTCAAAAACCTAAGTTTAAACAATATGTTACAAGAGTATAAGATATGAGATGAACTTAAAACAAAATGGTTGGTTATCCACTTTGATGTCCATTCAAAGGGAAATGCTTTTAGGACCAAAAAAGAATCTCAAATATAAAAATGCACTTTACAGCCCTCAACACAGTTTTCAACACCAGTACGTTTTATGTTATATAAAGTGTGATACTGCCCCACCATGTTCTTGTTCACCAGAAAATATTGAAATTTTGTTAGTTTTGAGGAGAGTGAAATACATTTCTCCTCTCTAATAACCTTCCAGAAGCTAATATGGCATGGAGATAAGAGGACAAGTGGGGAGACCTTTAGGAAGATTTCGTTAGGGAAAGAACTAGCTCATCAGGGGCATTGTAGCAGGAGAAATCAAAGTGACAGGAACAAGAATTGAAATACCTCAACATCTTATGGTAATCATCATGCTTTGATGGAAGAAGCTCATCTAAAATTAATGATTGACGGAACGCATCAACAGCTTGAAGCTCCTTTATATCTCTTATATCCTCGATTGAAAGTGAGATAACCCTATTGTCACTCTTTCTCCTGTTCTTCTTCTTTTTCAATGAATGCTTAAATATAGTCGAAGCATCAATTGCTCTTTTCCTCAACGATCCACTTCTTGATTTCCTTTCATCTTCAGAGTATTCCAGATCAGATTTTCGTTCTCTACGTTCATCATAACTAGAGAAGCCATCAAAACCTACCAAATATCAAAATCCAATAGCTGAATAAGAAAAACTGAATAAATGTAGTACTCTATATTTCTAAAAGATGCCAGACAAATGTTGCATTAGATCATAAAGATCTGCATAATTACAGGAAATCCAAATAAAAAAGAAAACCTTAAGGTGGTTTATTAGAGATATTGAATAGTAATCATTTGGACGCAACAAAATAATCATAGTTATTTACAATTCACAGGAAAATTCATTAAGTAAAGCACAAACGGATGGAAAATGATAAATGTCATTTAAAATGATTTGAAAAGAATAGATTTAATATCTCAGATATTCATTAGAAACGGATGGAAAATTACAATTCATAAAATCAATTCAAAATAGTTGGGATAAGATGGAAACGGCTACTGATGATGAAATCATAACAATGAGTGCTGCACAAATCATTCTCGACTAAACATGTAGCACAATTTTCAGTTTATTAGTTGTTACTATTAAGAACAACCAAAACTCTTCCTGCAAGCAGTTTGTACTGGCTAAACCAATAATCAAATATTTATTCAGAATTTTCCATCATTGAAGGATTTAACCAGGGAAATTAAGAGGTAAAACCAACAAGTTCCGATCAGAACAGCTACTCTTGAAGTTTTGAAAACTTGTTTGAACGAAAATCTAATTCTTTTTAAATATCTGAAAAGAGCCTATGCTTGGAAGTGCAAGCTGAAATTTCAGCCGAGTTAAATCAGATGCGCAGCTAGAATCAAAGCACGTCAATTCTAAGCCGCTTATTTTCAGCAATAGAAACGAAAAAGCTAAATTAGGAACAACATCAACCAACACCAAATTTCCTAAATGATTAAAAAAAGTGGTCATGCTCAACTCACGCGACCAGGCAAACTGTTCTAGTGATTCCGACATGATCAACTTAGAAATAAGATCTGATGGCGAGAACGCGCCTAGTTGTCACTCGATCAAGTTATCACGCGTAAGCTCCAGAACCATTAACAAACCAGCATTCCCCTCATGAAGCAGAAAAATCCACGAAAGACCTCCAATTAGCCGGCTGATCACCTGCAATTTATCTTTCAGTCGCCTAGGGTCAACACCAACAATGTATGAAAGAATTGAAAGGATTTGGAACAAAATTCAGCAAAAATAGTGGAAGGAAGGAGCAAAATTTTGGAAAGCAGAGTGCCGGCATAAAGCCGGAAGATTCGGGATTTATTGATATATCTTTTAAAGTTTGCTTCCAAATGACAGTAGGAAAGAGAAAGAGGAGAAAGATAGTTTGCCGACTTGTTCTTACTTCTGAAAGAGCAAAATGGAACATACCAGAGGTGGTTCAAATTTCGATCGGCACGGACACGGCGGAGAATCAGTACGCTGCTGGTCCCATCTGACACTTGGCTTGTCGGCCGGAGGAGCGTTTAGTTGTGGCTTCGTTTTTCTTAAATGTTTTTTCTTAAATTAAGGGTCATGCCGAATTATTATTTTTTTTTTTTTGGGGGGGATTGATGGCTTAGCTCATTCCATTATAAAAAGTAAGGTGTACAAATAAGGTAAAACGAACCCAAAAAAAATCAAAGAAAAATAAGAAAATTTATAAAAGGAAAAATTGAAAAGCTAAAGACAGAAAAATTCTATCGGGGAGAACTCATAAAGCAATATAATCAGAAATCAGGATAAACACTTCCCTGGTTGCCCGAAGCTCATCATGCCCACCATCATCCATCAGAACCAAGCTGCCTTTATTGCTAAAAGATACTTCACCGACAATATCATCTTGGTCGGGGAAATTTTAAGCTACTTGAAAAAGAAATCCAAGAATAAGTATTTCTGTGTGAAGCTTTATATTAGGAAAGCCTTCGACTCTGTTTCTAGAAGGTTTCTTTTGGAAAGACTTGCTCAAAAAGGCTTTCCCTCTCAATTCATCAGTTGGATCAAAGCTTGTGTTAATTATGTCAATTTTTCTGTTAATGTTAATGGGACTTTGGAGGGGGTTTTCTCTTCTTCTTCTGTCATCAGACAAGGTTGCCCCCTAAGTACTTATTTATTTTGTATAATCATGGATGCTTTCTCCTGTCTCATAGATTCTACTCCCACCATGAATCTTTTGAGGGTTTCAAGTATGAGAACTTCAGGATCACTCATCTATCGTATGCCGACGATTTACTTATCTTTGGTAAGGCGGATGCCTCTAATGCCGATTGGCTTGCTGGGATTTTATCTATTTTTTCTAACAGCCCGGGACTGTATCTTAATCTGAACAAAAGTACTATCATCATTCAAAATAATTTCCCAGGTTCTGCTGATATTTCCCATTCCCTTAATATCCCCAACATTTCTAGCACCTTTACCTATCTTGGCTTGCCCATTTCTTTGGGGAGAATCAAAGTCTCTGATTTCAGCCCTCTTGTGGATAAAATCACTAGATTATTTTCTAGTTTGAAAGCAAATTTGCTCTCCTTTGCAGGTAGAATGCAATTCATTAAGTATACAATTACCAATACGATTACTTATTGGATCTGTGGGAGTTATATTTTTAAAAGCATTATCAAAACTATTGGCAAGCATTGTGCTAAGTTTCTTTATTATGGTGGGTCTAATCAAAGGCACTTGCAACTCATCTCTTGGGCTAATACGTGCAAATATGTTTCCAAAGGCGGTCTTGGCATTGCTTCTTTTCCTGCTCTTATTTTTGCTTATAACTATGGGGTTATTTATATATGGTATAATACTCCTTCCCCTCTCACTGATTGGATGAATACAAGATATATATCCCCTTGGAAACCTAACGTTTCAAATTCTTCCTCTTATTGGAAGAGTTTATCTGGCACGGCTAGGAAAGCTAAGCCTAATTTTTCATTCTCTATTCATCCGAATAGCAATGCTGCTATTTTATGGGATCACTGGTTAGGGGGAAATGCTATTTCTGTTAGTTTCGATTATGTTGTGGTATTAATGCAAGGCTTTCTGAGTGGATTAATGCCATGGGCTGGTCTCTACCTGCTTCTGTTTGTTCTACTTTAAGGGAACATATTTTGGATATTCCAATTTCTCTGCAAGATGGTCCCAACATTCTTTGGAATAAATTACAAAAACCAACCTTCAAAGACTTTTATTTAGAATGTTTTGCCCAGGATGATGTTTTTACTTCTCTTGCTTTGATTTGGCACCGCAAACATTCTCATCGGTTTTCTATTTTGCTCTTGGATGGCGTTCATGGGAGGCCTTAAAACTGCTGATGAACTTCTCAAGAGGAACATTCACATTCAAGATTCTTGTTGCATACTTTGTTGTTCTCTTACGGAAACTATGACTCATCTACTGTTTGAATGTGACTATTCCTTTTAGGTGCTAACTAGAATTATTCCTGCTATTCTGAGTTTTTATCTGAGGCCAAATATTGCACAAGCTTTTAATTTTGCTGGGAATCTGATGGTCAATCACATTTTGAAAAGTGTTGTTCTTCTATTTCTCAATTCTATTGTGTATCATTTGTGGATTGAGAGAAATGGCAGGCGATTTAACAATGTGGTTATTTGCGTGGTTACCTTGTTTAAAAAAATCTTGAGAGTTCTTAAGAACAAAATCTCGAGCTGGAAGAAAGGGAATTGGGTGAAAGAAAGGATTTTTTGTAAGCCTACTGGTTGATGGATGTGATGTCTATAATGTTATACTGGGAGCTTTTTTTGTCTTGGTGGGATCCTTCCTTCTCCTGTTTTGTTGCCGGTTGGTGATTCTTATCTGTAATCTGTCGCTTGGTTGATGATTCGTGGGATTAGTATGGAATTTGTTGGTAGGCTTTCTTTTGAGGGTCTGGACAATGATGAGGCCTGCATGCTGCTTCCTTCATCATGCTGAATTTCATTCATTATTTAAAGGGCTATTTGGGTGAAAGTAAGATGTGTGAAAAATAGAGTGAATATATAGATTTTGAAAAATTAGATGTGTGATTTGATGAAAAATAAATGCAAGATAAAGTAAAGTCAATGCATGAATATTCTATTCTAGTTCATTTTTTAAGTAAACAATTCTTGCCCAATTTTGAATGAGAACAAAAACAGTTCTCATCCAATAATTTAATCTTATTCAAGGCGACGGCGGCCACCATTTCCACCTCCACCCTGCTGTTGGCTGCTAGCCACCACATCCATGACGACCGCCATCATCGCTGCTCATCGCCACTGTCGATGCATCCGTCCACCTCCGCAACTGACCGCCGACTATCACCACTTCCGCCCACTACTGCCGCAGCCACCTACCACCACTGTTAGTCATCATTACCACCGCCCATTGCTGCACATCGACGTCGCCCTACAACCATTCTAATTCTAGCCACCAGCCACCGCTAATTATCTCGGACACAATCGTTTTACACTTTATATTGTATTCACTTTACTGTAAAAAAAAAGTAAAATCATACATTCTTTTACATTCATCCAAAGAACTCCAAAGTATTCCTTTTACACTGCATTTCTTTTATAATGCATTCCTTTTTAGTAGCTAAACAGCCCCATAAAAGTTTAAATATAATCTTTAGGAAAATAGAACGAACATATAAAATTAGTACAACTCAAAATGATAGAGATAAGACTAGTGAGCTTCATCAAAAAAGACAATACTCAACAAGAAGCAAATAGAAGAATGAAATTTATAACAAAATCAACAATATTCTAGAGAAAAAAAACTAAAGATAAAATTAGACTCAAAACAAGCAAAAGTAATACTAGATAACAAAAATCGGTACAAATTTCAAAGAAGAAATATATTTGTCAAATCTACCATCTAAGGAAAAACTTGGCTACTGATTAGACGATCCATGGGGAAGGGTGTGGAGAAATTTCATTCATCATTATCCACACATATATTATAAAACACCCAGATAACCTAGGTCCAAACTAAACAAAAGAGTGTCAAAGACGATAAATCCAAGCAAAACCCTATACAAAACAAACCAACTGCCACAATAAAACAAGTACATAAACCTAATGTTCTAGCAAACATATGAGAACATAAGGCATCTATACAACAAGATATATTGTGTTTAACTCTCCATTAATCAAAAAAGGAAAAAAATAGCCACAGCCAAGAGAGGTGTAAAACTTACTCCATTTGTTTTTTGTGCTTGCTTCTCTCCAAATAAAAAAACACCGCTCATTGTGGCATCAAAAATGGATTATTGGTTTCCATATAGACCATAAGAGGTAAACTAGCACATGGATGGTGAGATAATTCATAATAGTCTAATTTGTTATGCAAGGCCAAAACAGAAAGCAGAAAGCAATTGAACCAAAGGGTGTAGCAACCACAATATCAGCATGTACCCAACAACACAATACATTTTCTAATGGAAATTAGAAATATCCCCAAGTAAATATAGCAAAAAATCCCAATGGACTATAGCACCATATGGCAATAGATTAGGAGATGGGATGTTTGATCTCATTAAATTCCTTCCATTTAATGATTTTGGAGTAAATGGATTTCTTGATCTGAATTCCATAAAAGCCAACAAGACTCATTTTATTTATTTCCTTCCAAATGTGATATAGAGAGAACCATATAATTAGATAATAAACATTTTTTTCTTTAGAATGGATAGGTAAGTCCTTAGTATAATCCAATATTTCAAAAAGGTTCTAATGTTGCACCAAGATAAAGACAAATGATAATAACACAAATTAGGACCCATCATCAGAATTTGGGCCGGTTATCATGCAAAACATTCCATGCAAGTCCATGAACATCCCATACAACTTTTAAAATTATGGGTGAATAATTTGAAAGCTTAATTTAAGACCCCTTGATGGGTAGGTGGATCATGGGCCATAAAAGTTAAAAGGGTATAGAACTTCATAAATTGATTAATTTCAAGACCACTTTACTTGCCATTTGTGGCCAATCCATATTTTTATGTATTTGGAAGATTTTAATTTTATTTCTTTTAGTATTAGGACATGCCACTAATACATGTAATAGTATTTTATTGGCTCTTAAGGCTTTTCAAATCTATTTAAGCTTGAAAAAGACCTATAAATAGGACCTTTGTACTTTTGATGAATTGAATAAAAAAATTAATTACTTGTATAAATTTTGTGTGGAAAGACTTTGTGGTTACTCTACTAATTGTTGAGGTTTTGTGACTCATCATCTACTGCTTTGGTAAGTCCTTAATTATCTATTCTTGTCATTATTCCTCCTCTTTCCCGACATAATTTTCTCTGCAGCTTAGCCTCAACCTTAGCATCCCCTGACCCCGAATATATCCAAACTCTTCAAAACTCTCTTAAATATCCTCATTCATCTCTCA